ATCTCCTGGAACTCATAGAAGGAAGAACTGGTTGCCCTGTCGCTGGCGGAAGCAGAGTTCATCGCCGCGACAGCAGTAGTTCGCCAAGGCTTGTATCTGTAGGAGCTGCTTCAGGAAGAAAAACTTCCAACTTCTCCCACCTTTCGCCTCCACTGTGATAACCAGAGCGCCATCAAGATCGCAAATAAGCCAGGGTTCGTCAATCACATGAAGCACATCGCGCTTCGATATTTTTTCGTCAAGGACAAAATTGACCAAGGCAAGGTTGACCTCACCTACTGCCCCACCACTGAGATGGCAGCTGATTTTCTCACCAAGCGACTGCCACGCGAGCAGTACCAGCACTGCTCCAACCTTACCAAACTAGTCAAGCAAGTCAGCTCTACGTGACCAGGAATGAATTGGAGTGTTACGATATGAAAATTGAGTAAGGCATTCTTGTATGCTGCAGGAGCCAACTCTACCGAGAATGAAGTCGAGGAGTCAGAAGAGTCGAAGCGACTGCAGCAACCGTCAGATCAAGACCAATGCAGGCAGATACATTTGAACTGGAAAGAGCGGGAACAGGTTTGAAACGGGTTTCCGCGTTGCACGGTTGAACTTCGCTGCAATAAGGAAATGTACCCCTTAAACTACATGGCTAGTCTAGGTCTTTTCGTATTCCCTGTACTCTATTTATAAACCTGATGTATGCATGCTTTCATTATCTCAGTCATTTAAACTCACTCTGATCTGAGGTCAACACTTCCGCTGCAATACTACATTGCTATCAACCCTGAACAATCCTTCGCTAAGTCCCACTTGGGATTGTAACACAGCCCAACCCCCTTCCCCATAAGTCCCTCCGTCCCCCCTGGTCCCTCACATCGCATCTCATATTGTGCATTTCGAAACTGTACCGTCCCTCATGCCACGTGCATCCTCACCCACAGCCCAGTCGCCTCCCAACTTGCCACACGCTTTTCAGCTAGCGCACTGTAAGCGCTGTACCAGAGGCTTCTTAATAAGATTCAAAAGATATAGAGCTGAATCATGCTCGAATAGTGAATTGGTTAAATCAGACGATGCAAGATGAATCATCAAAAATTTCAGACATAGCTCCAACATTCATCTGAAAAATCAGACCAAAAGAATGTGCTTGTCTGAAAGTCAGACGAAATTATTTTTTGTTTTGTATTTTCAGACGTGCCTAAATCCTAGCAAGAGCCCTGTTGCTAACCATGCAATTTGGAAAGCTTGCTTTCTTGTGTTTGCAATGGCAACGAGCTTCGTTTCAAATAGGCAACGAGCTTCGTTTCAAATGGGCATTACAACATTCTCGTCCGGCTTATATATGGTACCGACATTACAAGTTACAAAATGCAATTTTTGCTAGGGTGTGTGGGTGGGAAATAAGACATTTGAAATTTCAAATGAAGACGTGGGTGGAGACCAAATGGCCTCCACCCCCTGCTATATAGTTGGCGAAGAGCGTCTAGCACTTCGCCGTTGCCATTGCTGCATTACAAGCAGCTTCGCTTTCAAAATATGCATTTTTAGAAAGTGTTACACACTTTCAAAAAACTTCATATTTAGAAAGCTTGCTTTCTTGTGTTTGCAATGGCAATGAGCTTCGTTTCAAATGGGTCTTCTGAGACATGAGACGGGAAAATGCTGACGAGATGGTAAAGGTTGTTTATGGTTTATGCGATGACATGTCGGTGGTGTTCCAATCACGCACGAACGAGAGGCTGGCACCGATGTTCATGGTGATGTTGTATTCTCAGCTGTTGCCTTGAATGGGGTGTCACCCCAAGTGAGTGTAGTCCAGTAGTGTGGATTAATGAGAGTTGGCTGACACATGAGCTTCAGCCACGAACTCGCAAGCAGTATGGGTGGACTCGGGAGCGGGCGTTTGTATTCTGTGTGATGATGGATGTGATGCTTGTAGGAGCCCAACCTTTGTTGCGGTCACAACCGTGCTCAACTGACGAAGAGTGCATGCAACTTGTATCCGGATACGGAAAATCTGCCGGAAAATGTTTCTTTCTTTCTTTTTTTCTTTTTTCTTTTTACTCATCTGCTAGAGTTGTGCACCATTTCAAAGACACCACAAGTTTGTTCAATCAACCAACTCAAGTGTGACCGCATCCGAACCTTGCACTTTAAGGCTTTTAGCCGTCATAAGGTATTCGCGAAGTATAACTGAACTGCACAACCATTAATGTACCCTACAAATGGCCCACAGGCCAGAAAGGGACCCACCTGTCCTCCTCCCCCCTGGGGAGCTCGCTGGCCAGCACCGCACAGGACCCACCGGTCCTCCTCCCCCCTGGAGAGCTCGCTGGCCAGCACCGCATAGGACCCACCGGTCCTCCTCCCCCCTGGGGAGCTCGCTGGCCAGCACCGCACAGGACCCACCGGTCCTCCTCCCCCCTGGGGAGCTCGCTGGCCAGCACCGCACAGGACCCACCGGTCCTCCTCCCCCCTGGGGAGCTCGCTAGCCAGCACTGCCCAGGACCCACTGGTCCTTTTCCGGCTGGCGCGAGGCCCCCGGCCCCAATCTCCCACGGGAGCGCATGGGGTTGTGCCAAATGTTTGCCACAGTCTTTCTTCACTGATGGTCTTTCATGGCGACCCGAAGCTATGGTAGTTGACTCGCACCGATTTGCTGCGACCAAAAAAAAAAAAAAAAACACGACAGAAAAACGAAGACAAGAAAAAATCAAAAGTACATACGAAGACAGGTGGAAACATATGCAAAGTAATAAGTTATCCGTCAACAAATTTCAACAACAGAAACGTATCTGCCATGCCAGTTTGTCTCTGGCGCGCCACTGGAAGCTCGCCTTCTGGAGATTTCGCCATCATGCCTGCTGGTGCCGACTTCCGCTGGACGCGCCCCTGGATTATTGTACGCCACTGGTGATTTCGTAGCTACGAATTTTGGCATATGTACATGTGCCAATGGTGATTTTGACCATTTCGGCGCCATGAGCGCCACTTGCACCGCTGGCGATTTTGACGCCCACGTGCGTCGCTGGCGATTTCACCAAGCGCGCCTGTGGCGATTTCGTCGCCACGCGCACCTGTGAGTGTTGTCTTATTAGCAGGGCCTCAGATTGGTTTTTGGGTACTCTGAGCACTCAGTGTCCCTAAGAGGGTAACATTGATTTTCAGTGCCGTCGAGTGTGAAACACTGATTTTAGAGGGTTGTTAGAATTAAACGCTGATCAATCAGGGTTTCTAAAACTTCAACACTCATCAGCATAGTTGCTACTACGGTATGTTGTCATAATACAGCGAATCAGACTGCCCTTACTTCACATGCCAGAATTTTGCTATTTCCGTGTCTGATTGGTCAGAAATCTTGTTTGACGAATCGGGTAGGACAATTGTTAACGATTTTTTCTGATCTCTGGTTGTGTACTTGACTGATGATTCGGACTTGGTTCGTCACAGAAGATTCGCCCCGACGGCAAATTCTACCTCGCACAGTCGTTTCGCGCTGTCACAGCACAGCAAATTCGCCCACTCACACCAGATTTGCCCTGTCACAGCAGCAGATTCGCCCCTCACACAAGAGATTCGCCCTGTCAGAGCATATTTCGACAGAAATCCCCTTGCTGCACGGTGATGGCGCGTCAAAACAAGGAATTTTCGGTTTCAGGGTAGACCCCGATACAACACTGACTCGTCAGTGTCCTCAAACACAAAACACTGGAAAATCAGAGTTCGAAATTACGGTAGAAACACTGAAACATCAGGGCCATTAAAAAAAAATGCTGATGCATCAGGGTCATGACAAAAAATGGGGGTCAAACTTCAGGAATTCAGGGTAAAATTCCTGACTTTTGAGGCCCTACTTATTAGCCCCAACTTGCACGCCTATTGTGCGGACGGGTGTACCCGCAAGTCATTTCTGAAACACTTGTTGCTATGCAGTGCCCTAGATATCAGACTTTGGAGTCGGAATCAGAGTCCGTTCAGACTTTTTTTTTGTACCTAGTCTGAACTCAAAGAATTTATTTATGTAGCTTGTCTGATTTTCCAGAGTTTTTTCTTATGAGTTGTCTGAAATTTCAGCCTAATTTTACTAGGGTAGGCTGAGCCTCAGACTTGTATCGGGGCTACACTCTGCGCGCTTATCGGAGCAAAGTTTCCTGGAAGTTTCCTTCCGATATGCCCACTTCCGAGATGGCACTGGAGTGCCAGGACGTGAGCAACGCTCACTTCGACAGCTGGGACATCCAAATACACTCGTTCGTCGAGAATATCTTACAGTTACGCTGAGGAAATGGTTGCGTGATTACGAGATTTCTGAAGACAAAATCTCGTCACATGTAAATTATCGCTAATGTATTGTAAAGAATAGGCGACTTTGATGCTGATTCGCTGTAAAAACATCTGCAGCACGCACTGGTGTGAATTGCGAAGTTCCTGATTCGTACTGAAAGTTTCGTGTGGCACTGTCTGATCCTCACATGCCACGCCAAGCAACAGTTTCTGCCTGCTGCCAGCTCAGCTGCGTGGCACTTGGCCCACCTGATACAGATCGGGTGAACGATCGAATCGCTTGAAAAGCAAATCCAAAACTGACAAAATCGGCACACATGCGAGAAAATGGGTACAGAACAGTTATCACACACACGACAAAACGAAATGAGATCAGCAGAGCAGAAACAACCATGCGCTGCACGTGACAAAAACACGAACGCCGCCGACATGAGCAGAGGCGATGCACGAGCATGAGCACGTTGCCTGATGTGTTGGTATGGTAGGCTGTAATCAGCCTCAATGCTATTATAACTGCTTTTACTAAACTGCATGAACATCTTAAAATTTGAAGTAACTCTGACAGTTCAGACAAAAAAAATTGTGCTTGTCCGAATTTTCAGACTAAAATTTTGAGGCACCTCTGACAGACAGAGTTCCAGGAGGGGTGTACTCTGAGGCCTCAAACTACCTCAAAACGAATCTAGGGGCCTGTTGCTATGTCAATCGAGTTACTGCCTACTATTTTAGAAAGCATACCGGCACAGCGACACCCCCTGAAGCTGTCGTATACACAACACACCAGGCAATGCAGTGAGCTTCTCCAAATGACACCCTTCAAAAGCCTTGACCAGCCACGCTTTTGCAAAAGCACACCTCAATTGCAGCAGCAGTAGCAAAAGCAGCACCTCTGCTACAATTCTGCAACACCATCCTCCACCTCCTACCCACTCCCACTAGTGCTTCCCCTCCCTTCTCCCCCTCCCCTGCACCTCACCCCTCCTCCCTCGTCCCCGCCCCCCTCCCAGTCCCCGCCATCACGGGTGCAGCCAGGAGGAGCAGGAGAGACATGGAGGTGGGTCATGAGGCGGTGGAGGTCCACAGCAGTCGTCCAGTACTCGGGGTGCTTGCCACTCCACCGCGTCACCCTCCCATGCCGCCCCGTGCCGCCCCACACCAGTGCAAGCGGCCGCCACTCGCCGCCCTGAGCCTCACTCTCTGCTGCATCACCTTGTTGTCGTGTGTCAGCCCTACTTCCTTCTCCACCTCCTCCCCTCCGATCCTCCACCTCTACTGTGTTCCCTCCAGCTGCACCATCTGCTCCTGCCACTGCTTCCTCCTCCTCCTCCTCACCATCCCTCACTCGCCGCCGTTCCGCCCTGCTGTCCGCCCCACCACCCCCCTCTCCCCCCCCCCTGCTGCAATCTCCCCCAGCACCACTACTAGCAGCAGCCTGCCCCCCCCCTTCCCCACGCCGGCCCCCTTGCGAGCCTGCCCCACGTACCGTTCCTGTACCTTGTGCCTCCTCCCCGTGCTCCTGTGCGAGATGCTGCCCCCCCTGTTCGTCTCCTCCTGCCCCTCCTGCTGCTTCAGCTCCTGCTGCGCCTGCCACTTCTGTTGATCCTAATGCTCCTCTTGTTCCTGCTTCTGTTACTCCTCTTTCTAACCCTGCTAATGCTGATCTTGTGACCCGGCCCTGGGCTAACATGCTCCCACTACCCGCCGCCTCTCCCCCTCTCTGATCCCCTCCTCGCCCACTCCCCTGCTCTGCTCCTCCCCTCTCCACTTCCGCTCCTCTCTCCCTCTGAAGCAGGTATACTGTGCTGCCTGCATCACCCTCTAGATCGAAGGGCGCCTGGCGAAGGGGAGGAGGGGTGAGGGGAGGGGCGGAATAGGGCGAGAATGGGCGGTGATTGGAGGAGGCAGAGGAGGGAGCAGCAGAGGGAGCATAAAAAGGAGCAGAGGGAGCATAAGAAGGAGCAGAGGAGGGAGCAGAGGAGGGAGCAGAGGAGGGAGCAGAGGAGGGAGCAGAGGAGGGAGCAGAGGAGGGAGCAGCGGAAGGAGCAGAGGAGGGAGCAGAGGAGGGAGCAGAGGAGGGAGCAGAGGAGGGAGCAGCAGAGGGAGCAGCGGAGGAGGGAGCACCTAAGGGCGTATCTCACTTCGGGTCATAGGCATTGTTTCGGTCATCTGAGTTTCTTTAACGACCAATGGGGCTAATTTCAGCTACACTACTCGAATATTACCAATAGGTCGTTCTATGGCCCAAAGTGCTTCTATGACCCAAAGTGAGATACGCCCTAAGTGGAGGGGGTAGTGGTGGAGGGATCACCTCAGTGGAGCTGCGAATGAGGAGGTCAGAGGCGAAGGCGCGCTTGCTGTCCACGTAATACTCCACCGCGTATGCCATCACCGTGCCCTGCGTCATCCCTGAGCTGCGCCCCACCTTTGCCACCTGCAAAGAGGGTTGGGGAGGAGAACAAGTGAATGGGGAATAAGCGGATGAGGGGGACACAGGGCGTGATGGCGCGCTTGCTGTCCACGTAATACTCCACCGCATATGGCATCACCGTGCTGCGTGTGAGGCCCTATCTGCGCCCCACCTTCGCCACCTGCGTCAGGGGGGGGAGGGGAGGGGAAGGAATGGAACAAGTGAATGGGGTGGAGCGACAGGAAAGAAGCAGGAAGGGAGGAACGGGACGGGGGCGGAGAGGGTTGAGAGAGGGAAGAGAGGGTCGCACAGTGCTTGATGGGGCCATGCGTGTATGTACCATGCGCAATCACCAGATGCAGGGAACTCATGGAATACCACAGAAAACCCACAGGAAGCTGATGTGGTCGACCACCCGTGGCTTATGTGATCTGAAATGCAAGGAGGGTCTGGAACAGTAGGCCCACAGGTTGGATTATAAGTACTTGTTTAGCTCCTACTCTCGGGCCATGCAGCTCGTACTCTCGGGCCATGCAGCTCATACTCTCGGGCCATGCAGCTCATACTCTCGGGCCATGCAGCTCATACTCTCGGGCCATGCACAGTGACAGGCCGTGGAGGGAGGGCGTGGAGCAGCAGGCCCACGGCGCCTTTTGACGCACGTCAGCTCAGAAAGCCCAGATGCTGGGAGAAATCAGAGTTGATTCGGAGAGCCTTCACAAGCGGCTCAGGAGCGCACGTGCGGCCTCTCACACAAGGCACTTTAGAAGCCCACCTGCTGCGAGACGAGGGCAGTGACGGGCCATGTGGGGAGGATCTCGATCACCGGGCCCACTGCGCCGCGTGGCAGGCCCCTTGGGCGCGCCGTGATGTGATTCGCGTGGATGGCCGATGTGAAGGCCGCAAACGCCCCGTCCACCCTCACCCTGATGTCTGTGTGAAAGAGGGGGTAGGGAGGCAGGGGAAAGGGAAGAGGACGATGTGACAATGAGCTCATGAGCTGAGCGGAAAGGGCAGGTCCTGTGACCTGTCGGGGTGAAGGCTGCGAACGTGCTGTCCACACGCACGCTGATGCGTGCATGGTGGGGGTTGTGTGGCGGATGGAGGGGTGGAGGCGGACAGGTGATGGGTTACGGTGGGGTAAGGTGGGTCAGGCTGCCATGCAAGCAAGAGACCTCTTTGTGAATAATAGGATGCTGGCACTGCTCCGCACGCTGCTCCCTCCAAAATGTGTATCTGGAAAGTCTGAAAAACATCCTGCAACCACTGTGAATGGTGGAATGGTGACAGTGCTGAAAATACACCACCTGCCACACATGCACCCAGCCTCCCTCGTGCCCCACGCCGCAACTGCTTCCCCCTCCCTCACCATGTCCCTGGCCCTCCCTCCTCCTCAGCGCACCAGGCTGGTGGTTAATGTAGAACCCGAACCACTCCAGGTCGCTTCGGAAGGACACCATGCGCCGAACCTCCCCGATAGGCACGCCAGGGCCGTGGCTTGGGCAGTGTGGGTGGTATAGGCAGCGCCCCTCTGACATCTCAGGCGACGTGCCTGCCACATGGCTGTTGGTGAGAAAGCCGAGCTGATGTGGCGCTGAGCTGTTGACAACGATGGGGCCCATGGTGACGAAAGTGTCATCGCATGCCACCTGGATAAAAGCAGGTGAGTGACGGGCGGGAGGCGTGGAAAGGGGTGAGTGAGACAGAGGCAGGGGCGATGAGACGGGGTGGGTGGGTGGGGGGCGGGAGAAGAGCGAAGAAAACCCATTAGCAAATGCCACCTGGCGCATTTGATAAGCATGGTGAGGGCGGTGCGACAAGACATCGCAGGGGAGATGTGGGGCGATTAAGGGGAGGGTGTGGTGGGGAGGAGCAGAGGGGTGGGGCTCATGGTGACGAATGTATCGCTGCATGCGCCATGGATAAAGGCAGCTGGATGATGGGCGGAGTGGACGCGCGGGGCACATGCAGGGGTGCGGCAGAGCAGAGGCGGCACGTGCAAGGGCGAAATGGGGCGATTGGGAGAGGGGCAGAGGGGGCGACGGTAACAAAGGTGCCACCGCAGGCCAGCTGGACGGAATGGAAGAAGGTGAATGGGAGGAGTGGAGGGTTGGGCACATGTAGGTGTGAAGGGGGGGTGAGGGATGGGAAGGGACGAAACAGATGTGGATGGACGACCAGGACAAGGTGCCAGCTGATCCGGGTGCGCCCACGAAACAAGGCCACGGATGCAGTTTCCCCCATCAGCCCGCCTTTGATAAGCCCTCCTCACCTGCCCGCCTTTTATAAGCCCTCCTCACCTGCCCGCCTTTTATAAGCCCTCCTCACCTGCCCATCTTTTATAAGCCCTCCTCACCTGCCCATCTTTTATAAGCCCTCCTCACCTGCCCATCTTTTATAAGCCCTCCTCACCTGCCCGCCTTTTATAAGCCCTCCTCACCTGCCCATCTTTTATAAGCCCTCCTCACCTGCCCATCTTTTATAAGCCCTCCTCACCTGCCCATCTTTTATAAGCCCTCCTCACCTGCCCACCTTTTATAGGCCCTCCTCACCAGCCCGCCTTTGATAAGCCCTCCTCACCTGACCGCCTTTGATAAGCCCTCCTCACCTGCCCGCCTCTTATAAGCCCTTCTCACCTGTTCGCCTATCAAGTAGACCTGTGCAAAGTGACGAGTCGAGCAAAACTCGGACGAGCAATTTGTAAGAACTATATTGTAGGCTGTAGTGGGGCACTCCTTATGAGGTACAGTATTGTTAGGTTTTGCCTAAACAAACCTTGTACTGCCCTGTTGCTAGTCATTCTCGTTTCATACTTTGTGACATGGTTTCAGAGCAGGTTTCCTAGTGGGAACGTTTTTTTAGGGCCCACCGTATTAAGTTTTTTTTCTACTGACCTGCCCGAAGCGCGCGTCGCGCTTGCCTTGCCTGCGCCGTCGCGCGCTCTATTCTAGTGCCGCCCTTAGCGGCCCTGCCCTTGCAGCCTGTCGCGCCCTTACCCCTACGGCCCGTCGAGGCCCGATTCTGCCGCCCTTAGCGGCCCGCCCTGCCGTCGCCGCCCTTAGCGGCCCGCCCTGTCGTCGCCGCCCTTAGCGGCCCGCCCTGCCGTCTCAGCCCTTAGCGGCCCGCCCTGCCGTCCGCACCCTTAGCGGCCCGCCCGCCCCGTCGTCGCGGCCATCCCCTACCCTGCCGCGGCCCTGCTTTATCGCGGCCCTACCCTGCAGCAGGGCCCTGCCCTGCCGTCTCGTCGCAGCCCCTGCCCTGCCTCGTCGCGGCCCCTGCCCTGCCACCTCGTCGTGACCCCCTTCACGGCCGGCGCGTCGCGGCCCCTGACCTGCCGCCTCGTCGCGGCCCTGCCTGAGGCGGCCCTGCCTGACGCGGCCCTAACCCTGCAGCCATGTCGTGGCCCTACTTTTCGCGACCACTGCCCTGCCGGCGCGTCACGGCCCTGCCCTACCAGTCGCGGCCCTACCCTCTCCCACTCCTGGTAAGCACACCGCCGCACCCGCGCCACCCTGCCGAGCCGCGCCGCCCTACCTAGTCGCGCTACTACTGCTGCTGCTGTTGCTAACGCTACTGCTGCTGTTCCTGCCGTCATGGCTACCCCTAATGTCCTTACCTTCGATGCTGAGGGTCGAGCAGTTGATTTCGAGGTCTGGGTCGATGATTTGCAGCTGTTTTTGCAGTGCGACTCTAGGGACGGAGTCTCACTATCCGATCACACGTCCGGCGTCTCTGTTGCACCTGCTGCCGATGCTGACAGTGTAGTTCGCTCACAGTGGACCACGCACGATGCTGCTGCTCCTCTTGCTGTTCGTAGTCACCTGCCGTCTGCTGAGCACGCACATTTTAGCCAGTGTAAGACTGCGAAGACTCTATACGACGCTGTTGTTGCACGCTACTCCTCCCCTGCCACTACTGCCCTTGGCCCCCTCATGCTGACGTACCTGTTCCCTGACCTAACCGCTTTTGCCACAGTCGCTGACCTCATTATGCACCTCCGCACTAGTGATACCCGCTACCGCGCTGCGCTTCCTCCAGAGTTCTGCGCCAAGAACCCCCCCCCTATGTACATCACCCTCTACTACCTCGTCACCCGGCTCCCTGACTCCCTTCGCTCGGTCAGGGACCACTTCCTCTCTCTTAAACCCACCACGCTTACCGTTGACCTCCTTGAGGAGCGCCTCCTTGCAGCTGAGAAGACTATAGTCGCTGTAGGAGCCTCTCGTGGTAACCCTCGTGCCCCCTTTATTGAGGGGTGCTCCCCCGTCCCCCTTTTGCCCTCCGTTGCCTCTACTGCTGCTGTCGACCTCGTTGGCACCGAGTCGGTCGGCACTGCGTCTGCTCCTAGTTGGAGGCGCCGCAGCGGCAGGAGCAAGGGGGGCAAGGGTGTTGGAGGAGACGGCGGGGGCGGCGGTGGTGGCGGTGGAGGCGGCGGAGGGGGTGGGGGTGGAGGTGGGGGTGGTGGCAGGAATGGGGGCTTTGGTGGCGGCGGTGGAGGTGGAGGCGGCGGCGGCAGCGGCAGTGGGGGTGGCGGAGGCGGCAGCGGCGGTGGGGGTGGTGGCGGCGGTGGTGATGGTCGGGGTGGCGCTGTACAGCGGGGAGGCCTTGGTGGTGGCCAGCGCGAGTAGCAACAGCGTTCTCGTGAGACCTTGTCGCCCCACAAATTCGTAAGTGGTACGCTAGGCGTGGGAGGTTTGGGGGTGCTGGTCCTTGTGCTTACGTTCTCCGCACCAGTGAGCGCAGTGGGGAGACGTGCAGAGGGCCGCACGCCACGCACCGCTGTTTCGGCCACCTAACTGACGCCTGGCGTACACAGTTTCCTGACGCCACTGAGTTCCCTCGCTGGGGTGATCTGCTTAGGTCGAGGGTTGCTATCTTTGATCTTGATTATGATGCTATCCTTGCTGCTATGTATGCTGTGATTATTAGTGCTGAGGGTGACTGTTACCTATGTGTTTTGCCCGAAACGGGCATTGAGGCTGCTGCTCTAGGTGCTAGTGAATCTGCTGCTCTAGGTGCTGGTGAGTCTGCTCTCTCAGGCACCACATCAACTCAGGCTTTGCACACGTTCATCCTTGACTCGGGTGCTTCCCGCTCCTTCCGCGAATGCACCACGCTCTCGCCGCTCAGTCGGCCAGTGGCAGTCTCTCTGGCTGACCCCTCTCAGGGTCCGGTCCTTGCGCACTCCTCCACGGTTCTGCCGTGTCCGGCGGTCCTGTCTGGCTCTCTGTCTGGCCTCCACCTCTTCTCGTTGTTCACGAATTTGGTGAGTGGTGCTAAACTTCAGAACGCGTGGGTTGACCAGTTCACTCCAGGAGGTCAGCGGGTGACCCACTATTCGTGTACTCGGACGGGCCGGCACCTGGCCACATTCACCCGTCAGCCTGAGTCGAGCCTGTACACCCTGATTGCCGTGTGTCCTCCGGTTGCTGCGTCTAGTTAGGTAGCTGCGTTGGGTCAGGAGTTTGATAGAGCGTCCCCCCCTGGTCCTAAGTCTACCCCCTTCTCGTGTCGCCTCCTGTCTCACCCGTCTGACACCACCGCCTTGGTCACCCCTCCCTGCCTCGTCCCCGAGGCATGACCTCCCGCGTCCTTGTCACTGGTCTTCCCCGGTCTCTCCCTCCCCTTCCCCCGGGGCCTGCCCCTACCTGCGTTCCTTGCGTCGAGGGGCGGCAGCGCGCCGCTCCTCACTCCTCTGAGTTCCCTCCAACGGAGGCTCCCCTGCAAACTCTTCACATGGATGTGTGCGGCCCAGCCCGCGTCCGTGGACAGGGTCAGGAGCGCTATTTTCTGCTAGTCGTTGACGACTACTCGCGTTACACCACAGTCTTCCCCTTCCGTTGCAAGAGTGAGGTCACTGAGGTGCTGATCGACTGGATCCGCGGTGCCCGTCGTCAGCTCAGCGAGAGTTTCAGCTCGGACCTTCCTGTCTGCGTCTGCACTCCAACAGAGGTGGAGAGGTCTCCTCCGACCTTCTGCGAGCCTTTTGTCGTGCAAAGGGCATCTGCCGGACGTTCACGCTTCCGGCCTCTCCACGGCAAAATCAGATTGCTGAGCGCTGTTTGTGCATGGTCATGGACGTCGTTCGTACGTCCATGATCCATGCGGCTGCTCCCCATTTTCTGTGGCTGTTCGCGGTTCAGTACGCTGCGCATCAGCTGAACCTCCAGCCCCGAGTCTCCTTGCCGGAGACCACACCTACTCTGCGGTGGACGGGGAAGGTTGCCGATGCGTCTGCGTTCTGTGTCTGGAGATCTCGAGCTTTCGTCCGCAACTTGTCTGCGGACAAGCTGTCCTCCCTTGCTGTTCCCTGCCTCTTCCTTGGCTTCCCCACTGACGCGCCTGGTTGGCAATTTAACCACCCCACCTCGCGCCGTGTTCTGTCTTCTCAGGACGTCACGTTTGGCGAGTCGGTTCCGTACTACTGTCTCTTCTCCTACCGCACTGCCCCCCTCCCCCCCGGCCGCCGCTCTTCCTTGCGCCAGGTCCTACCCCGGTAGACCCCCTCCCCCCTCAGGGTCCTGCCCCCTTAGGTGTGTTCCAGGTAGACGCAGTCGAGCCTGTCGAGGTAGCTGTTGACTCTGGTGCTGCTAGGGGTGCTGAGCCTGCGCCTGCTGAGTCTGGGGGTGGTGAGCCTGAGCGTGCGGAGCTTGAGGGTGCTGAGTGTGGGGTGCTGAGCCAGGGGTTGCTGAGCCTGGCGGTGCTGAGTCTAGGGGTGTTGAGCCAGGGGTTGCTGAGCCTGCGGGTGCTGAGTCTGGGGGTGCTGAGCCTGGGGTTGCTGAGTCTAGGGGTGCGGAGCCTGAGGATGCTGAGCGTGCGCGTGTGGAGTCTGAAGGTGCTGAGCCTGGAGGTCCTTCGGGTGCTTCATCCCGGCGGGAGCCACTCTCTCCAGAGCAACTGCGTGAGTGGTTTGCTCGGCGCTGGAGCCGTGCTGCTAGAGCTGGTGGTATTAGGGGCCCTGGAGGTCCTGTTGCTGCTGGAGCTGCTGGGGTTCTAGAGCCACTGGTCCCGGAGGTGCTCGTACTGTAGGTACTGGAGCTGCAGGGCCTGGTGGTGTTGCTGGGGCTTCTGGTGGTCCTACTGGAGTTGGCGCTACAGGAGTTGCTGGAGGTGTTGTTGGAGCTGGTGGTACTTCTGGAGTCGGAGCTGACGCTGGGGGTGTTGGTGCTGTCCCTGCTGGTACTGGACGCACTACGCGGCCGTGGCTGTACATCGTTCCGTTCCTTGAGCGGATTCTTGGTCCCTCGTCTTCTACTGGTCCTACTCCTTCCTTAGAGTGTCCACCGCCTGTCCATTCGCAGTCACAGCTATAGCCCGTCTCCCCATTGCTTGCTCCTTCTCCTTACACTGGTCCGATCAGAGGTCTTGCTGAGCATCGTGAGTCTGCGTCTCGTCCTGCGTCGCCTGTTCGTGCTGCTCGCACTAGTCGTCGTGGTTCGCGTCAGTGTCCTCCTCCTGTCCCAAGCACGCACCAGATGGCTCTGCGTCCTTCCACTGCTCCGCAGCGTGTCCCTCTACCGTCTCCTTCTCCGTCCTCCTTTCCTGTTGGTCCGGACCCGAAGTCTAACTTCCTTCGTGCTACTAATCCTACTGTCACGCGTCTTGAGACCACTGTTATCATCGACCTTTCTTTTGAGTCTACTGCTGCGTCTGCTCTTGTTGCTGAGCTTGTCGACTTTGCTGCTCGCTGTCGTCTAGACTACGCCGCTAGTCTTGTTGCTGAGTCTGAGTCTGTCTGTCCTCCGTCCGTCGGGGGTGAGTGTGCCCTTGACACGGACGTCATTGAGGACAGGCAGGAGGAGTTCCAGTGTTTTGCTGCTGTTTTACCTCATCTCGTGTCCATGTTACTTGCCTCTGAGAGAGACCTGGATGCACCAGACATCCCGACCCCAAGCTCTTACGCAGAGGCGATAGAGGGTCCCTACACCTCTCAGTGGCAGACAGCCACGGACGCAGAGATGGCAGACAGCCATGGACGCAGAGATGGCTTCTTGGAAGTCTACAAGCACCTACGTCGACGAGGTTCCCCACACCTGGGACGAACATTATCGATGGCATGTGGATTTTCAGGGTGAAGCAGCCGCCGGGGTCTCCGCCTGTTTTCAATGCGCGTTACGTGGCTCGAGGCTTCAGTCAGCGGCAAGGAGTTGACTACTTTCAGACCTTCTCTCCCACCCCAAAGATGACCACTATTCGGATGCTACTGCACGTCGCCGCTCAGCGTGACTACGAACTTCCTTTCTTGCCTTCAACTCAGCCTTCCTATAGGGCAGCCTGCACGAGGAGATCTGGCGGCGCCGCCCACCTGGCTTCACTGGGTCGTTTCCTCTTGTTACCCAGTGGAGCCTCCGGCGGCCAGTCTACGGTCTCCGTTAGGCGCCCCGTGAGTGGCACGACACACCCCTTGGGTTTGCTCCTTCCACTGCTGACCCGTCGCTGTTTCTGCGCACTAGCACTTCACTGCCGCCGTTCTACATCGTCGTGTTCGTCGACGACTTGGTCTTTGCCACTGCTGACGCTGAGGGACTCGCTCTTGTGAAGTCGGAGTTGCAGAAGAGACTCACGTGCATAGACCTGGGTGAGCTACGCAGCTATCTTCACTTGCAGATCACCCGGGACACACGGCGCACCATTACCTTGACTTAGTCACACATGGTGCAGCAGATCTTTCAGCGCTTCGGCTTCACGTACTCCTCGCCTCAGGCCACTCTTCTAGATACAGGCCACTCGCTCTCAACTCTGCCTTCGGATGAGTCCGTAGAGCCGAGTGGCCCGCACCCAGAGCTTGTTGGCTGCCTCATGTACCAAATGACCTGCACTCGACCTGACTTGGCATACCCTCTTAGCATCTTGGCACGATATGTTAATTTTGGGAGACACCGACTAGAGCACGTGGCTGCAGCGAAGAGGGTGTTGCGCTACCTGTGCAGTAGGTCGGGCATGGAGCTCGTGTTTGGAGGATGGGCTTGAATTGTCCTCACTAGCCACGCAGGCGCTTCTTGGGTCGACGACTTGGCTACGCAGCGGTCGTCATAGAGTTACACCTTCAGCCTTGGTTCCGGCTTTGTTTCGTGGGGGTCTACCCGCTCGTCTTCTGTACTTACCTCCAGTTGTGAGGCTGAGATCTACGCTGGAGCCATGGCTGCACAGGAGTTACGCTCGCTCACCTACCTGCTGACCGATTTGGGAGAGCTGCCTCGTTCTCCTCCAGTTCCTTACGTCGACAACAAGGCCATAATTGCCTTGTGTCAGGAGCATAGACTGGAACACAGAACGAAGCATATTGCTCTGCGCTACTTCCTTGCTCGAGAGTTGCAGCATCGTGGTTAGCTTCGTCTTGCTTACGTGGCCACTCGGCCCAACACTCCTAATATCTTTACCAAGGCACTTTAGCCTTGTGATCATCAGCGTTTTTGCTTACCTCTTGACTTTGCTTGTACGGTGATTTATTTATACCTGCACCTGCATGCTTACCCTTGCTAGGTTGAGATCACTGTCTTGCTTGTTCACCTTGATTAATAATCCTGCATGTGAACTGGCCTTGTGGCCTTGTACTTGTGCTCAGAATGCGTGGTGACGTTGTGATCCACCCTGAGCTTGACCTTGCCTTGTTCTCTTGTTTGTCCCCCACTTTGCCTATAGGGGTGTGTCAGAACTATATTGTAGGCTATAGTGGGGCACTCTTTATGAGTTACAGTATTGTTAGGTTTTGCCTATATAAACCTTGTACTACCCTGTTTCTAGTCATTCTCGTTTCAAACTTTGTGACACAATTCTTGTGACATAGCATACTCGTTGCTCGCTGTTTTAGCCAAGATATTAAAAAAATCGGACGAGCATTTCTGAATGCTCGTCCAAGTCCGAGTAATGCTCGCTGTTGCTGCCCTGTAACTGCAAATCTGCCTCTGCATGAAACCCCAGGGAAGCCCAGGGTAGCCCAGGGAAGTACAGCGGAGTCTAGGGTAGCCCAGGGAAGTACAGCGGAGTCCAGGGTAGCCCAAGGTCCCCGAGTACTCGGTGAGTAAAGAATTTCACCGATTAAAACTCGCGTCAGCTCGGGCGAGCAATTCCAACCAAAGAAAAAACTCGTTACTCGCCCCTGGACGAGTAACTCGCCCCAACGCCGAGGTCTACTTTCAAGCCCCCCCACCTGCTCTCCTTTGAACCCCCCCAACTGCTCGCTTTACTGCCTCCTTACCTGCCAGCCAGGCCCCGGCACAGCACTGCAGCCCTCACCTGCTCGCCTTAAAGCCCCTCCCCACCTGCCCGCCTTAAAGCCCCTCCCCACCTGCCCGCCTTAAAGCCCCTCCCCACCTACCCGCCTTAAAGCCCCTCCCCACCTGCCCGCCTTAAAGCCCCTCCCCACCTGCCCGCCTTAAAGCCCCTCCCCACCTGGCCGCCTTACAGCCCCTCCCCACCTACCCGCCTTAAAGCCCCTCCTCACCTGTTCGCCCTTAAAGCCCTCCTCACCTGTTCGCCCTTAAAGCCCTCCTCACCTGTTCGCCCTGAAAGCCCTCCTCACCTGTTCGCCCTTAAAGCCCTCCTCACCTGTTCGCCCTTAAAGCCCTCCTCACCAGTTCGCCCTTGAAGCCCTCCTCACCTGAGAGCCGGGGCCCAGTAGGGCACTGCAGCCGCGCAGGTCGTCCACAAGCTCGCTGCTCTCCTCCTCCGCCCTCGCCCTGTCCCGCGCTGGCTGAAGGGCAAATCAAGAAAGGAGGGGAGCGGCGGGCGTGGGGGGGAGACGGGAGGGAAGAGACTCACGATCGTGCTGCTCGCCTCCTCCGCCGTCGCCTGTCCCTCGCCGGCTGCTGTGCGTGCGGCAACAGTGGGAGTATCGAGAGAGAGGAGGGGAAGGGGGGGGGCGGAAGGCTTTTGAGTCTTCTCTAAAGTCGAGCTTGCTGCTCGCCTTGTCCCTCGCCGGCTGCAAAGCGGCATGGGGGGAGTATCAAGAGAGGGAGGAGGGGAGGGGGGTGGGGGGAAACAGAAGGAGAGTGGCTCAGGAGGTGGCTGCTGATTTAATATGCCCTGGTGCATGATGTGCCTTTGGCATGCAGGCGGCATGGCAGCAGATCAGCAGGCGGCATGGCAGCAGATCAGCAGGCGGCATGGCAGCAGATCAGCAGGCGGCATGGCAGCAGATCAGCAGGCGGCATGGCAGCAGATCAGCAGGGCATCGGCGGCAGGGCAGCGCAGCAGAGCGTGAAGGCACGGCGGTGGGAAGGCATGACAGCAGTGGGAAGGCAGGGTGACGGTGGGCAGAGCAGGGCAGATCAAAGAAGGGCAGAGCAGAGCCGAGCAGAGCAGAGAGCAGGGCAGAGCAGAGCAGAGAGCAGGGCAGAGCAGAGCAGAGCAGAGAGCAGGGCAGAGCAGGGCAGAGCAGAGCAGAGAGCAGGACAGAGAGCAGGGTAGAGCAGAGCAGAGAGCAGGGCAGAGCAGAGCAGGGAGCAGGGTAGAGCAGAGCAGAGAGCGGGGCAGAGCAGAGCAGAGGAGAGCAGCACAGCGACCCCTCACCCTCCACCCGCGCCGGTAGCATGGGAAAGCAGTGCCGTGCCGTGCAGGGCAGTGCGGTGCAGTGCAGTGCAGTGCATTGCAGGGCGGCATACCTGGCGGCCGGGCAGGCAGGCGAACTCGAGCACGTCGAGGTCGCACCACAGCGACCCCTCGCCCTCCAGGCGAGCTGGTAACAAGCGGTCCGGTGGTAACCAGTTGGGATGCACCTGCGGCGTCAAAGAGGGGAGGGGAGCGAGGTGACTTTTTGATTCGAGGGAAGGGGGGAGAGAGAGGGGGGAGAGGGAGGAGAGGAGAGCAAGGAGGGAAAGGGGAGAGAGGGGGGAGAGGAGGGAGGCGGGGGGGAGAGGAGGGGAAAGGAGGGGCGGAGGGGGGCGGAGGGGGGAGTAGGAGGGGGGATGAGCGGGGACGAAGGTGGGAGGAGGGGGGAGGAGGGGTGAGGAATGGGGAGGACGGAGGAGGACAGGGGACGAGAGATGAGGAATGAGGAGGAGGGAGGAGAGGGGAAGAATGGAGAGGAGGGGGGAGAAGGGAGGAGGGAGGAGGAGGAGGGGGTTGGAGAGGGGAGGAAAGGGGGAACAGGGGGGCGGATTGGGGAGCAGGGAGGAGGGAGGAGGAGAAGGGAAGAGAGGGGAGGAATGAGGAGGAGGGAGGAGTGAGGAGACAGGAAGAACGAGGAGGAGGGAGGAGAGGGAGGAGGGTGGAGGAGGGGGAAGGAAGGGGGAGAAGAGGGGAGGAGGAGGGAGAAGGGAGGAGGAGGGGGTTGGAGGGGGGAGGATGGGAGAGGGAGGGGGAGGGAGGGGAGAGGAGGAGAAAGGACGACGGTGGAGGAGGAATAGAGGAGGAGGGAGGGAGGAGGGGGGAGGGAGGAGGGAGGAGGGAGGAAGGTTGGAAGGGAGCAGGAGGAGTAGGGGCGAATCGGAAAGCAAGAAGAGAGGAGGAGGCGGGGTTGCAAGGCGAGAAAGGCGGAACGTCGGAGAAAGAAGCATAAGAAGGCGGCAGGGAGCGGAAGAGGAGGAGGCGGGCGAGGAGAGGAGGAGGGGAGCGAGGAGAGGAGGAGGGGAGCGAGGAGAGGAGGAGGGGAGCGAGGAGGGGAGGAGGGGAGCGAGGAGAGGAGGAGGGGAGCGAGGAGAGAGGAGGGGAGCGAGGAGAGGAGGAGGGGAGCGAGGAGAGGAGAAGGGGAGCGAGAGGAGGAGGGGAGCAAGGAGAGGAGGAGGGGGGGCGGAAGCAAGCACCGGAAGCAGCAGTACCTTGGAGAAGACGAAGGCGAGGATGGCGGGGCGGTCGGTGTACTGGCCGTTGCGGATGCGCACGCCCACGGCCGTCGCGAGCGTCCTCTCCCGCAGCCACTCGGAGCGGCTCGCGCGGATGTTTAACAGCTCCTGTCCGCCGCATCATGCGCAGAGGTGAGGGTCAGGAGAGGAGGGAGCGAGCAGGGAACGCTGGGTCGCCATGGCGAGGCGAAGCTAGTAGTAGTAGGCGAAGCTAGTAGTAGTATTGAGAGAGCGTGATAGAAGCTGCATCATTACCTCATGGGGCGTCTGCACCACGAGACGCGTCTACACCGTTTTTGTAATGGAATCAAAAATTAGCGCTCCGGGAGCAGAGGACGCAGGATTAGTGAACTACCTGGATGGTTGTTGCTTGTCCACGCGTGCGTAGTGTAAGCTCTCTGCGAGAGAAATACGCTTGCCTGTCCTCCTCCGAACCTGGAACCAGCAAAACGCTTGAATTAATTCACGGTTGAGGAAATCCGAAACGCCAAAACGCCGCGAATAAATTCTCAAGGACTACCAAGCTCAGCCCGTGGAAGCTGGAAACGATATCATGTCAAGCAGGGACCGCGTGACATAGACAGACCTGGCTGACTTCTGCCGCCCATCCCGGGCTTGCTCGAACGTCCAGCAGCAGCCATGATTCTTCGGCGCGTGAAAGTCTACAGTTTTGAAACGAAAGCCAAGTGTGGGTTCCTCAAAAGAAAGGTACAGCCTTACAGAAGACCTGAGCCGCCGTATTGCACCGCCTCTCATCCCACTGGGAGTCCCACTGTCTTAACCGCCCCTACAGCGAAACCCCAGCCTGTGAGAGCGGCGTGCATGCCTTTGCTGTCACGCATGCCATAATGCTTCACGAATGGGGGAATCATGCCGTCCATTCGTGTGTAGGACCTGTGCGTCGCCTCAAAAGTCATTCGTTTGCTGTCCTGCTTTCCTAGAATCATGTCGTTCTGGAGCGGGTGCATGGAAGGGGAAAGGTCGTCCATTTTTCTCTGAAGTTGAGAGACTATTCGGCTTCCTTCCTATTTCGATGCATTGAGCACGAAACTCGAGGGTGCAGTTTGCCACCCATTTCACCACATTCAAGACTCTAAAAGGGCAGAAGCAGCATTCTTTGGACCAGCGCCCTTGGCTTTGTTTCTCAAGTTCCCCATCTGCCAGTTCACGTGGTGCAAGATTGTGGCTCGCCAACCAAATCGAGATACTTAGTAATGCTGCTTCGCACCCCTAAATTGTGTGTAATCGTTCGTCCGAACGATTGAAATGTGGATGACAGCCTACACTCTGATATTTGCAGAAGAGTCGCCTGTAACCCTATAAGTTTACTTGTATGTTAGGCCTGTTGCGGTGAAGTCTATCCCCAAGCAGTCACATGCCCCTGGCATGCAGCCCTTGTCAGGTCTCCTCCGAACTCTCAGCTATGCCAGCTCACTTCCATGGATGGGCGAGGAAGACATCAAATCAAAACGCACACCACCAAACAGTCTCCCTTGACGAAGTTTGTTCGCGAGTACGGGTTTCACATCCAGCCAGCAAGGGACAGCTGGTTCTAGGCTGGTCATTGGTTCGGGGGAATGAACCACGGGCATCCACGCTGCTCGGTCATTTACCTACTCTCCGACAATTCCACACCTCGTAGCTTCACACCTTGGGATAATACCCTTGAATACCCTAGGTTAATATAAAACAGTGGGTTGTTAATGTCATTTTCAGAATCTTCTTGGCGAACGCCTCAGAGCGTGTTCCTATCCTCGTATCAAGATAACCTCGTATCAGGCTCACACTGAAAATTCCCCTAAACCCAAAACCTCTCGCTAGTTTTACTAGGCAAAAACAACATTCTTGATACGAGGTTTCAATATATGAGGCCGTAGGAACACGCTCTCATACCCGTGTTGTGAGCTGACGGAATGCAACAAGAAAAGGCAAAGGCATTCTCACCTCTCACTCTGATTACGATGTACGAATTCTGTAAGATATGTCAGATTTATATGACTTAGCTGCTGTACGCTATAGTGGGGTAGCACATATGGGGTAAAGCTTTCTAGGGTTTGTACTTGTACCCAACTTTCCCTTAGTCTTTTCATTCTCGTTCAATTTCACATAGTATAGAGCAGGTTCCCCTATGGGAACTGCTCCTAGGGCCCACCGATTTTTTTTTCCCTGCCCGGAGCGCGCTCAGCCTCTGCCCAAATCACGCTCCCATCTCACAACCCCGTCGCGCCGCCCTTACGACCCCGTCGCGCCGCCTTAGCGGCCCCGTCACGTCGCGCCTCCCTAGCGGCCCCGTCGAGTCGCCCTTGCGACCCCGTCGCGCCGCCCTCGCGGCCTCATCACGTCGCGCCGCCGTCGCGGCCTCGTCGCGCCGCCCACGCGGGCCCCATTCCGCCGCCCTCGCGGCCCCGTCGCGTCGCGCCGCCCTTGCGGCCCTTTCGCGCCGCCCTCGCGGCCTCTTCGAGCCGCCCTAGCGACCCCTCCACGCCGCCCTCGCGGCCCCGTCGCCTACCCTTGCGGCCCCGGCGCCGCTCTTCCGGCCCCGGCGCCGCCTCTGCTAGCCCCGTCGCCCCACCCTTGCGACCCCGCGGCCCCACCCTTAAGGCGCCGGTCGCCACCCTTCGTGGCCCCGCCGCCGCCCTCAGCGGCCTCGTCGCCGCCCCACCCGGCCCCGCCGCCGTCCCTTCAGCGGCCCTGCCACCCTACTCGGCCCCGCCGTCACCACCGAGCCGCCGGCGCCGCTGAGCCGCCGTTGCCGCTGTGCTGCCGAGCCGCCGCTACTGCCGAGCCGCCCGAGCCACCCGAGCCGACCGAGCCGCCGAGCCGCCGCTGCTGCCGAGCCACCCGAGCCGCCCGAGCCGCCGAGCTGCAGTTGCTGCCGAGCCGCCGAACCGCCGAGCCGCCCGAGCCGCCCTGTCCGGTAAGAGCGGCACCTCTACCACTGCGCTGCCCTTAGCCTACTGCTCGCGCTGCTAGTCTACTACTGTCATGGCTACCCCCAGCGTCCTCGCTTTTGACGCTGAGGGTCGGGCCATTAACTTTGACGTCTGGGTAGATGACCTGCAGCTTTTCCTACAGTGCGATAGGGCAGACGGTCTCTCCCTCTTTGACCTCACTTCTGGTGCCTCTCCTGCCCCTGCTGCTGATGCTGACGCCACTGTTCGCTCACAGTGGGCCACACGCGATGCTGCTGCACGTCTTGCTGTGCGTCGCCACTTGCCTACCTCTGAGCGTGCACACTTTAGCCAGTACAACAGTGCTAGGACCTTGTACGACGCTGTAGTTGCACGCTACTCTTCCCCTGCCACTACTGCACTTAGCCGCCTCACCCTGTCGTACCTCTTCCCTGACCTCGCTGCTTTTCCCACAGTCGCTGACCTCATTACGCACCTTCGCACTAGTGACATTCGCTAGCGCGCTGCCCTTCCCGCTGAGTTCTGCGCCAAGAACCCCCCCCCTATGTACATCACTCTCTACTACATAGTCACCCGGCTCCCTGACACCCTTCGCCCGGTCAGGGACCACTTCCTCTCTGTTTGCCCCACCACCCTCACCGTTGACCTCCTCGAGGAGCGCCTCCTAGCAGCAGAGAAGAGCATACTCGCTGTAGGAGCCTCTCGTGGTGACCCTCGTGCCCCTGTCTTTGAGGGGTGCTCCCCCTCTCCTCTCTTGCCCTCTGTTGCCTCTGCTGCTGCGGCCGACCTCGTTGGTCTTGAGTCGGTCGGTGCGGCGTCTACCCCTAGCGGGAGACGCCGCACTGGCAAGGGCAAGGGGGGCAGGGGCGCTGGAGGAGCTAGCGGGGGCGGTGGAGGCGGCGGAGGGGGTGGGGGTGGCGGTGGTGGTGGTGGCGGGGGTGGGGGCGTCGGTGGCGGCAGTGGAGGCGGAGGCGGCGGCGGCGGTGGCGGTGGGAGCGGAGGTGGCGGAGGTGGCGGCGGTGGAGGTGGCGGCGGTGGAGGAGGCGGCGGCGGAGGAGGTGGAGTTGGTCGGGGTGGCGCTACGCAGAGGGTCCGCTCCGGTGGTGGTCAGCGCCAGCAGCACCAGCAGCGTACTCGTCAGATCCCCCCCCCTCAGCAGCTTCGTGAGTGCTACGCTGCACGCCAGCAGGGTAGGGGTACTGGTTCGTGCACCTACGTCCTACGCACCGGCGACCGCGCGGGTGAGCCGTGCGGGGGTGCGCACTCCACCCAGCGCTGCTTTGGCCGCCTGACGGACGCTTGGCATCACCAGTTTCCTGAGGCCACTGAGATCCCTCGCTGGGGCGAGCTGTCTAGGGCAGGAGTAGCTATCTTTGACCTTGACTTTGATGCTATTCTTACTGCCATGTATGCTGTGACTATAAGTGATGAGGGTGACTGTTACCGGTGTTTTCCACCCGACCCGGGCATTGGGACTGCTGCTCTACGTACTGGTGAGGCTGCTGCTCTAGGTGCTAGCGAGGCTGCTGCTCTAGGTGCCAGTGCGTCTGCTTCTTCAGGTGCTAGTGAGTCTGCTCTCTCAGGTACTGCGTCGGCTTCGGCCTCGCACACCTTCACCCTTGACTCGGGGGCTTCTCGCTCCTTCTTTTGAGACCGCACCACACTCACGCCGCTTGGTCGGCCAGTTGCAGTCTCTCTGGCAGAACCCTCTGGGGGTCCTGTCCTTGCTCACTTCTCCACTGTCCTCCCGTGTCCGGCGGCCCCCTCTGGCACCCTGTCTGGTCTTTACCTCCCTTCGTTCTCTACGAACTTGGTGAGTGGTGCTGACCTACAGGATGCGGGGGTTGACCAGTTCACTCCTGCGAGCTAGCGGGTGACCCACTGCATGGACGCTCGGACGGGCCGACACTTGGCCACGTTTACACGTCGGCCGTGGTCGAGCCTGTACACACTGACCACTGAGTCTCCTCCAGTCACTGCATCTGGTCAGGCAGCTGCGTCGGGTCAGGTGTTTGCTGCAGCGTCCAGGTCTGGTCCTGAGTCTGCCCCTTGCTCATGTCGCCTTCTGTCTCACGAGACTCTCCTCTGGCACCACCGCCTTGGTCACCCCTCCCTGCCTCGTCTCCGAGGCATGGCCTCCCGTGTCCTTGTCTCTGGTCTTCCCCGGTCCCTCCCTCCCCTTCCTCCGGGGCCTGCCCCTACTTGCGTCCCCTATGTCGAGGGGCGGCAACGTGCTGCCCCTCACTCCTCCCAGTTTCCTGCGACAGAGGCCCCGCTGCAGACGCTTCACATGGACGTGTGGGGCCCAGCCCGCGTCCGTGGACAGGGTCACGAGCGCTACTTCCTACTGGTGGTTGACGACTACTCGCGTTACACCACAGTCTTTCCCTTGCGCAGCAAGGATGATATCACTGAGGTGTTGATCGACTGGATCCGCGCAGCTCGTCTCCAGCTCAGGAAGAGCTTCGGCTCGGACGTTCCTGTTTTGCGTCTGCACTCTGACAGAGGCGGAGAGTTCTCCTC